GGCATCGTCGAGGACGAGTCACGGCCTTGCTGATGAGGCTGAGGCTGGGACTGGTGGGGCTGATGCTGCAACTGTTGATGCTGGTGATGCTGCTGCTGCTGCGGTGATTGTTGGTAGTGGTGCTGCTGGGCTTGCTGCTGCTGGGGAGACTGTTGCTGCTGCTGTTGCTGCTGCTGATAGCCTTCCTGGCGAGCCTGCGCAGCCGACGCACTTCCGACACCGCTGAACTTGAGCAAATTCAGCAAATTGTTGCTGCGATCGCCGTTGGAGGGCATACTGCCACCAGGGGGTGTCGGTGCGGGAGGCATGGGAGACACCATGATGGCGCCCGTTGATGTGAGGAAGTTTGGGGGAGGAGGTAAGAAGAGATGCAGAGAGTGGCAAGGGACGTGGTCCGACGAGGGAAATGAAGGACAATTGACGAGCAGACCCTTCCGTCGTTACACGACAGTGTGATGATTTTCTTGCGAATTGAGGGTTTTTGAGGGAGGAGGAGGAGGAGGGAAGGGGAAAAAAGGTAAGCTAAGGTGAGGTTAGGTGAAGGTATGGGATATCGAAAATAAATTTTGGGACGGAGAATGGAAGGATGGGAGAGGCTGGCGGCGCTGGAATTCCTGAGAGCCCAACCTAAAGGTGGCACAACCCTGTAGCGCGAGCAACAGAGCAAGGAGCAGGGGCAGGGGGGTGACGTGGTTGAATTTTGAGAGGAAGGAACGACCTCTCGACTGCACCTGTCCGAAGTAGCACTTTCCGTGCTTTCCCCAGGTGTCTGGACGGAAGCAACAAAGGTCCGGCGCGTCTTTGCAGCTGCCCTGTACGGATAGGTATGGACCTTAAGGTACTAAGGTATACTGGAGGTAAGGTGGTATGTAGAAGCGCGTGCCCTGGAAGGTCAGGTAGGTATGTACAGTGGAGTGGTACCTAAAGTGCTAAGACAAGCCTGGACTGGAGGTGTCTGAGGCGGTGCGGGAAGCCAAGGTGCGATTTGCCAGCGACCACTCGATTTAGTGCAGCTTTGGGCCCGGGCGTGTCTTGAAATCCTTCATTTGGCGGTGCCTTACTACGTAGTGCATGTAGTGCTAGCGCTGGTGCTGTTTGAGGCGATTTGGAGGTGAGAGGTTCCTGTTCCTGGGCAGGGAATGGAAGCTCAGGTAACGGAGGTATACCTATTCCTTCGCCGGCTTGGGATGGAGAATTGAAGAAGAGCTTGGGTGCTGCTGTTGCTGTCGCTGCTGCTGCTGGCGGCCATGGGTGCTTACCTACTTGGGTGCAACGGGTGCTTGGGCAGACCGGCAGGATGCAGCTGGTCTGTGCGCTACGTGGCGGACGACGTGGGGACGTGCCACTGGTGGTCTTTCCTCCCCGCCCACACTGCTCCCACACGTACCGATTTTGGTTCATTACCTAATCATCTAGCATCTACTCCGTACCTTCCCCAGCAATCAAGCTGCTTGCAGAATCGGGTTCGTGCATACCTTACGGAGTACGGAGTACCTTACACAGCATATTCAATTTCCTGACGTAAGCAAGATCCCCAAATGCCTGTTTTGAGACCCCAGAGTCTGAGACAGCCTGACAGAGAGAAAGAGAGGCTGTCGCCTGCAACAGATCTGCACGCAAACAGTAAACGTCTTCGACGCCTCGCCTTGCATTCCATGACATTGCCAGACTGTATCAACTTGACGATTTCTTGCTGCTCCCAGATCTCACAACGAACCACAAGATCATTCCTCGCATTGGGCCCCCTGCCGACTCGTGTGCAGTGTTCGCATACTTTGACCCAACCGAAAACCTCCAAGTCGTTTGCGATTACACAAACATCCCGACACACAAGATCTCGCTGCGCTCGAATCCTGCGCCGTTCGCGAATCGGTTGAACCAGCATTTGTACTGTCGAAGCGTGGCAACGTCTTCTAATTCGATATCGTGTTGAAGGAAGCACTCAGCCTGGGGAAACCCCCTCCCCTACCGACGCCAGCAACCTTTCAGGGATCCCACGTCGCCCTCATCTACGTCACGCCCCTCTCGCACACCCGTCACCATGTTCTGTTTAAGGAGGTGAGCATCGCGAAGCAATACCCCGACCTATTGTGGTTATCTCTGCTGACAACTCCCTCACAGCTGGCTCCCCCTCCTCTTCATCCCAACCAACGCCTCGCCGGCCTTCATCTTCCTCTTCTTCATCTGCACCTATTTCCTCAACAGGCCCTGCGTCTACTGCAGCTTTCTGCTGTTGATCCTCTTCCTCACCTCGTGCAACTGGTCCGACCGCTGCTTCTTCGACTTTAGCAGTAACTGGTTCCAACCCCGCCCGCCCTCTTCTCTTCCGCTCCCCGAGCTCGATCCGAACACCAGCTTCAACGCCTCCGTGGTGGAAGTCATCAACTCCACAGCCAGCGTCCTTGCCGGAGCCGCGGCAGAAGAACTCGCGCGGCAGAGACAGGAGTGGACGGGGTTGGGCATCGAGTGGTTGCGTAGTCTGCTGGGCCGGAGGGAATGGCGGGTTGACTGCCTAGACATCAACATCCGCTTGTAGGCCATGTCGCCGACAGACTGTGTGAGGGAATGGGTGTTCACGAGTAACGACTGTTTGCGAGGTTGGGAAAAGACGGTACGATAATAAGGCAGGAAGTTGGACACGCGGGATACCACGATGGTCTTTAGGTGCATTCCAGGGCGTTTTTATATTGTACATGGTGCGTGAGGTGCCATGTGGAGTAGAGCACCGAACATACTGGACACTAGTCTTTCGATGGGTTGTTTCTCCCCTATAGAACAGAACGTTTGTGCTCCGTAGGGTCATGCCTTTAAGCACTGGGTATATAGATGTATTCAATACGATACCGATCGAGCCTCACCCTCGCGTTGTCCGTTCAGCTGCACTTCTCTGCTGAGGGTTGCAATGTCATTGTCGTGAACGATGCAGTGCCACTCGTACCATGGATAAGCTTCTCCTTCAATGAAACCCGGGTCGTAATTGTGCTCGTTGCTGAGGGGTAGGCATGACGATTGGAAACGGAGCGCATGTTGCAGTGATGTCAAATACGGGACAGGGGTTGTTGACGAGGCAATTGAGCACTCCCTCTGATGGCAAAAGTCTGTTCAATGAGCAGACATGATTCATTCGCTCAAGGAAGCAGAAGCTGATTCAAATTACCGATGTATATTAAGATGTTACGGAGATAACGTTCATACTCGTTTTGCATTGGAGTCTTCACGAGACCGAACCTGAAGTATCTACCCGATCCTGGACAATCCGGTGATCTTTACGCCAGTGTGATAAAGATATTGTGAACAAATTGGCCCAGACTCGTTGGTATTTTCATGTCTTCAAAAGCGTAAAACCATATGGCAATGACATTAAATACACGAATCTGCTGATTGTCCTCGGTGATGTTGGAACGAAGTCAGTCGATCCAGTCAAAACCATATGCGAAATAGATGTCAGACCGAGGTATATCCGCGTTGCATTAGCCAGTATAGTGCGCCGTAGGATACGGACAGCGTAATTGAGAGGCTGCTCTGCTCGAATAGGGTAGGTACGGCAAGCTGATTGAGTTGGCTCCTGAAGCTAGGAACTCAGGTGAGTTCCGAGGATAGCACATGCTAAGGCATAGCCATTGGATACTTAAGCCAGGGCACGACACAATAGAGCAAGTTCCCGTAATCCATGTTTCAAGAAGTATATTGGTCTCCTCAGCTGTATGGTTCATTCAAGATCCAGTATCGTGAGTGTATCGTCATGTTTAGGTTATAGGTCAAGGAAAAAAGAGCACAAACGCTTTCCCACATGAACGGGTGTATCAGTGAACAATATCATGCTAAAAGTTTCGGAAACAAACACACACTCTTGAATATTTCTTAACATTGAAATATCATAGAAAAGAAAGTTGGAATGGTATCGTCGTGTTTTGTAAGATCGAGGAAGGCCATCTCTGGCCTGCAAGGACGATCTGTGAGAGAACTTGACAATGGGAATTTGGAGGCAGTACCGGATTTCCTCTCCGTGCAGTCAATGACACTTATCAATATTGAAAAGATCCTTTCGAGGCCAAGATCAAGATCATGTCTGAAGTTTAGTATCAGCCTCTCTATCGTATTATGTCGATATTTTTCCATGGAAACGTACATTTCAGTGTTTCCAAGTTCTTCAGGACCCAACGTGCGTTACAGATTCCGCGAAGATTCCCGCGTCATATAGCCCAATAGCTTATTCGTTATTCCTCTTCGATACCTGTTACCTCAAAAGACGGAAAACTAGACTCGTTCAGGGACCTCTGTTTCTGCGCCGTAAGGTAAGGTTGAGTGCGAATCAACACGTTGTGCGAAAAATTGAAAGGCTCTGTAGAACTCTCCAAATTCCTGTAGTCGCAGGCAAGACATATCAAGGCCGGCATATCTAAAGACAATGAACATCTAGTACCATGGTCGGCCTTTTTCTCATCCAGGTAGTTGACGGCAGCAAGAACAATCCATGTTTTTTATGCTTTTGCGGTATTTCAGCAGGCCTTCTCGTTCAACACCAGCAGGGGATCCTACTACTAGACTGGGGAATTCTTACTTGAGCTACGCGGTTTACGTCTACGGATGAGCGGCAATTGCCGTTCATCTGCCTTTGTCACGGATGAAAGTGCCGAGCAGACAACATGGGGAACCACGTGCGAATACTTGGCCGTTTGCAACCAAGCCTCGCGAATATTTGACGTAATCATCACTTGAGGATGAACCTCTCTCTACAGCATACGATGACCTACGAAGGTCTGAAGAACGCCTTCCAGCTGTGATAACTAAAAGTGGAGGTGCTAACGGCATCGATTATGGCGCCTTCAGTGAGCCTCGATCGAGGCTTCACCAAACAAGCTTCACGCTGGCGTGAACGGCTGACTATGTGGCAGTGCCTGCCCAGTAACCGAAGACTACTTCAATGAATCCAGCTTGTCTAAGCATTCACCGTTGTAGAGCCAAGCCGGCAGTCGATTACGGGCGGCGTGGTGTCAGCGTCATGTGCCGTATCCGTACGGGTTTTGGGGGCCAGGAATAGACTTTGGACAAGCATAATCACCAGTCCCGAGGTTTGGTATCCCGAACCGGAAGCACTTTCTCGAATAAAGTTTACCGCATTTCCGGGTCAGGGAACGAGGTCCGATCGACCGGCTGTCTTGGGAACGGGCAAAACGGGGTCCATCATGGATCAGGAGGCCGGAGTAGCTTGCGCGGTCGCCGTAAGAGGCGCGGAAGGCCGGTAGAGCGGGGCGGAACTGGATGCTTTCGTCGCGGGGGCGGTGCCGCCGACGAGTCCCGGGACTCAGCCCTGCCCACATTACGGCGCACACGTCAACGGCAACACCGGGCAATTAATATCGATCATGGTGATGTGCAAGACTGCATCGGGTTGTGGCGTGAGCCCTATGGTTGGGTGGATTCTTGGCGTCAGCTTTTCGCCATTGCTGCCCAGGTTGTGTGTCGTGTGAGCGACCACCCGTTTGAAGAGAATGAATTTTTAGTCTTTTTTGTCAGTTGATGATAATCCAGGCTGGCCCTTGGACGATGGACCCCGGCCAAGAGCCTTTCACTGACCCTCGCCCTCTTGCTATGATGCTTATCTGCATTAAAGGCGAACCTTGCTTGCATGAGCAGTGGGGCGGATGCGATGAGTGCAAAGATAGAGGCGCAGACGTATTCGCACGCATACGCAGAGTCTCTCCACTTTGAACAATGTCCAGGCCTCCAGGATCTATTCGTAGCTCGACGCGCCTGGGGCCTGAGACCAAGTCCAAAGTCCTGGTGAGTGGAATAAACGGTTGATGAAGAGCATTCTCCAGTCGCGGCGGGAATAGTAACCATATGGGCGAGAACGTCTCGAAGGATTCCGTCAGTTTGATTCAGGCATTCCTTCTCTTCGCCCGACGGTTGGAAGACTGAGACAATTCGAGGGCGTGTGTTCAGTCGGGAGCACCGGCAGACGGCCAAGACAACGCCAATTCTCCCACCACCAACCATAACGCTTTGCGAGATCCCCAGCCTTTTCTTGTCTGGATTCTGGAGAGTGACAGGGTCATCTTGCTGACGCCGAGGAGAGAGGGACTGTACCAAAGCATCACTGCATCGCTATCTGCAATCTGATTTCGTATAAGGATGAGCATGGTAATCCGTACCAAGACTGTAGTGTGTTTGGTCGTGGTTTGTTGTTGGTCTTGTTTGGCCGGTTCGGCGCCGAGGCATGCAGCCACAATTGAGTGCAGACACGAGTGCGGACATCGGATTGCTTCCTCATTTCACCATGATTGCCGCCTCCCTTCCTGCTACCTGGTCTAAGTTCTGAGCGATGCTTCCCAGGCCGAAAGCCACAGCTGTCTCCCGACTGCAAGTTGTTGTCGCCCTCGGCACAGGATGCCGGTTGTCGACGCCAACCACGCGGCCAGTGACGAGTTGCCATAGTTGACAGGAGAAACCTGAAACCGGGGGGCCACGAAAGCTTCTGTTGCTAGCCGCCAAACTTGTGTTGACTAGCGACAACTCCTTGAACGTGCCGTGAGCCGTCAGAAGAGAAAGGGTCGGTCACCGTTGGTAACACAGCTCTGGGTCCAACCAGCAACGACATCGGACCAGCGAGGGCGGGGAGGGAAACGGACGATGGGCGGAGCGGAAGTGATTGAGCCCCAAACAGCGGAAGCATGCGCCACGGCGTACAGTACCATGCCAGCTGTATGGAGGATGGTATCTGTAGATTCGTAAGGTAGTCCTGGTGCTGAATTATGCATCTAAAAAGAATAATCAATGGGCAGAAAAAGAAAAAGGAACAGCGGCACCTGGTTCGACTGGGAACAAAAGTTGCAGACAGCCGTTGTCGCCAAAAGGGAGAAGTGGCAGGGGTATCTTGCAGGGCCACGCGTCGCTGTGGAGCCACCGGCGCCAAGTGCCAATTGGAGCACACTGAGGTCTGAGGATAGTTGACCAGCCGAGACTGAGAGGCGTGAGGACTGAAAGAAGACGCGCGAGTTGAGGGCGTGAGTCTGTCTGTCAGAGCGGAACGGTGAAAATGGAAAGGTGAGGTTGCTGGTGCCGGGACGTTTCTCTTCTGGAAGGGGAAAGGGGTCTCTCTTTGGGCCCTGAATACTTCAATTTTCAGCCATGCCACTGGCCTCTGTGCACAATCTGGTTGGATATCGTTTGATCGACCTGGTGGGTTCGGATGGAAGACTCGAGTCGTTCATCGTGTCTTTCGGTGCCATTCGTGTCAGTTTGGGACGTTTATACTCCATAACAGACGTTGCGCTGAGGCAGAGCCGCTGATCGCCATACGCGGAGCGGATTGATCCTGGATATGCGCCTGGCAGCTGGGGCGAGGGGTGTAGAATTAAGTATCCGTTGACTGCAAGTCGTTGAGCACTGAATGAGGCTATTGGTTTGTTGGATCTTCGGCTGCAGTCCTGAGCCTTGAATTCTGATCGAAAACCGCAGTGGTTGTTCCCATAGTATTCCGTACGTACGCGATACGGAGTACGGTCTGGTCGAATCCTGTATGCCAAGTAGCGGAACGGGATTCACTGTGTTGCCGGCGCGCATATGGCCAAAAGGCCCAGTGACGGCCAAGGTGAAGCCCCGACGGAGCGGCCTCACGTCATTGGACGGGGAGGGGGGAAGCTGAATGGCGCCAAGGGGGCGGGCGCGTTGAGACACGAGAAGTTGACAGTGAGACTCTCAAGGAACCAAAGCCGCGCCAATCTGCCCATGTAAGCCATGGTGCGCGGGTAGAAAATGGGGTCGTGCCGTGTGTGCCTGGGTATGTACCTACGGGTCCATAGGTAGCACCTTAGATACGGAGTACGGCGCTCAGTTTTGTCCCAAGTTGTTCGATCCGATGCCAATTAAGGTAAAGTAAGGTAGGCCATGTGTGTCCGTGGCCACTGACCGTCGGGCGCAGCAGTGGATGGGATGACCTTGGCTGCTTTCAATTGTTTGAAGACTCGAAGGCAAATATGCAGATTTCGGGGGAATCGACATCGGATGAAGGATGACTGCCTGAGAATGTCTGATGGGAATCCGTGGGTGTTGGTAATCGTCAATGGGCACGCGACACTTCCATGAGTGACTTGGCCCGGGGCTTGCCTCATTCGTTGTGTACGCAGTACCTAGTATGTACTAAATCGCCCCGTCATCGATATCTCGGTCCCGCGACCGAGAAATTGGTGATTTGGGGTATCATGGAAGGAACCGCCCAGAATCTGGATGTGTGCCCACGGGCAGGAGCTACATTGAAAATTGGGAAGTAGTAGACAGGGGCACCTTCTATCTGAATGGGTCTATAGCCCGGGAAGGGGGGGGGGGGATTTGGGGAGGTTCCATTGTGACGTTGGCAGCTCCGATAAGGAAGGATCACAGTTCCCATAGTCAGGTGCTCTCTTGCCGTTTCGGCCAAACGGCGATGGCCCGGGTCCCCTCCACCTCGGCATTCGCTTACACTGTAAACGAATTCGCCTAGATACATTTCCTTTTCTTACATTTTCGTTCGTGGTCCTCTTAACTCCTCGTGAGATGACTTGAGATGACTGCAATTGACTTTGCGGCTGACTGACTGCCACTTCGGACTATGTTGCTGATATCAGATCGTCAAGACAACCTATGCCAGAGTGGTTGTTAGTTACTACGAGTTAAACGGCCCGTCGGCACACTCGGCACTAAGCCTAGCACCGAGCAAACGGCGGTGCATACAATGTGACAGCTAAGGGCGATACCTATCGAATGACTGAGTACCTTACTCTCCCCTAGGAAGACTCAAGAGAGCAAGGCAGATATCGGCTAGTCGACTATGTCCCCTTAGCTCCACGCAAGTGGCACCGGCGCTGACCTTGACGCTGGAGCCACTCCCAAATTGTGCCAAGCCCGTTAGCGGCTTATGCGGCGACTGGCAAGTCTGGGAAGTCTGGGACCACATGCCTGCACCTGGAAGTTGCAAGTTGCAAAGACGGCGAGGACCGTCACCAAGGAAGGAGAAGAAGCACGAGAGCAGAACGTGAGCAACAGCAGGAGCACACGACACCTGATGGAAGGGTGCAAGGTGATACCCCGTACCTACCTACCTTACCTTACCTACCTATGCCATAAGGTACCTCACTCCGTAATGTACCTTACCCAAAGGCCCAATGGCAGGACCACCGTTTCCACCCCTGCCGTTCCGAGCTTTGGAGAGAGTCAGAGGGGCAAGTGCCAAGTGCAAGTGCAAGTGCAAGTGCAACTGCGCAACCGCAACGCAACTGCCAACTGCAGATTCTGATATTCCGCCCACGCTCACGCTCCAACGTCGTCTCCTTTCTCTCACCCCTGCTACCTTGACCCCCGTCTTTCCCGGACCACACCCACCGGGTCCCATTTTGCTCAAGCTTCTTTTTTGAGATTGTTCCCTACGGCGGAATGCTCCTCTCCTCCTCGAACCCTCGCCAGTCTGTGTTGATTTTTGTGTTTTTAATTAACCTTTACTGGATCCCAATGGGCCCTTGTCTATCCGTACGGTCTGGCTACGAATACACTCGCGGCATGAGCAGGCGCAGCAGTGTCTAGTACCACCGTAGGACGCGGCTTGTCACCCGCTCCCGGTCACCGGCGACAGCCCGGGCCCTGGCCGCCCTGCCTCCATCAACTCCTTTCGACGCGGGATTACGTATGCCGCTCAAACGTGGCGCATACGCGCAAATCCGCCAGTCTCAGTCTCTTTCCGACTCTCTCGCAAAGGAATGTGGGTGTCTGCTTTTTTTTTTTTATTTTTTTACCACCGTCGTACGTACGCTCTCTACGTAGTACCTAGTAGCTATCCATAGCCCATACCCCGTACGGGTACCTTACCACCACCACCACCACCACTACTACTACTACTACCGTTATTTGCGACCCAGGCGGCTTAGACAGTGGAACGGACAGGCTGGAGGTGAGACATAGGAAGTGGTGGAGGAGGAGTCCCCTGCGATATCACCTTTCGTTGTTGTTCTTGATTCCTTGGCACTGTGGAATATTCAACAAAAAGGAACAGTCAAATGCGAGAAAGGAGGCTCCTCGGAAACACTGGAGCCTGTAGCAGCATTATCATCTTGGCAAAGAAACCGAAAGCTGCAAGAAAAAAAACCCCAAAAAAATCCAGTTCCGTAGGTGCTCCATGGTCTGCGTGGGGATTCTTTGCCATGGCGGGACTCGGGATGCTGCACTAATACCATGACCGGGATCACCACACACCCTCCACAAGCCCACTCCCACACCCTCACACCTCCATCCCTCACCCGTCTCCCGTCACCACACGCCTCTCTCTCTCTCTCTCTTTCCTCTGGCCCAG